GTCGTCGTCGTCGACGATGCGCGAGGGAGGCAGGTCCGATCGGCGGGGCGAAGCCGCGGAAGGGAGCTCCGCGCGCCGACCCGTACAGACTGTGCCCCCGTGCCTTTGCAGCGCGCCTGCTGCCGGCGGCGCCGGGTCGTTGCCGTCGCCGCCGCCGCCGCTGTCGTCGTTGTCGCCAGGTCGTTGCCGCCGCCGTCGTCTTCGTCGCCGTCGTCGTCGCCGTCGTCGTCGTCGTCGTTGCCGTCGTCGTTGCCGTCGTCGTCGTCGTCGTCTTCGTCGTCGTCATCGTCGTCGCCGCCGTCGCCGACGCCGTCGCCGTCGCCGTCATCGTCGTCGTTGTCGTTGGGGATACGCGCGGGGCGAGGCGGAGGAGGAAGGGCATGACGACGAGGGAAAAGCAGAGGGGTATACGATGAGGGAGGGAGGTGCGCAAGCAGCACTCCGGTTGCTTTTGGAAAGCTTTTCCACCGCAGCGCGGGAGATGTATTGAAGTGCGTTGTCATGGCACAGGTGATCCCGTCTGTCTCGACAAGGGAGGTGCAGTTTACACAACTGAGCATAAGATCACGGCGCGGGCTCCCGAGAGTTGCAGTAATCCACAGCCCAGTATGGGCAGCTAAGATTAGAAGACGTGCGCCCATAGAATACCGACCTCACAGATATAGCTCGGTCCTGGGTGCTTCCTTTGTTCTAGCTGGGTCGGCGGATCCTGGCGCAGCCGCGCGCTGGGGGCCTGAGTTGCGTGCGCGTTTCCTGAGTTCGCACCCGGCGTGCTCTACATGAGATTCATCAAATCCGCCACAGCGCCTGTGTGGCGTAGCGAAAGGGTGTAAGATTGACGCATTTGTGAAAGGTAGCGAGGGGCTGGGGTTGTAACGCTCAAATCTCCGGGTTCTTGGCTGAGTCGCGAGCTGATTGCCTTCGCATGGTCTTGCCCAGAGGAACGACGGTCTGCCGAAGGCGAATAGACAGCTTCATTCCAAGAGCTTCGGCGTCTCGACAGATGGCCTCTCCGACGTCGCTGCCGAGTGCGAGCGATCGAAGAAGGGTGCCGTAATCGCGCGGGCCCCGTTCCCTGATGTAGGGCCGCGGGGCGCATTCGGCTGAGAAGGTGGTGAATTCCTCCGGCGACAGAGGCTGCACGTCAAACGCCCGAGTCCACAACCTGCAGATCATCATTGCTTGCCCGCCTGTTCCGTGGGAAATCCCCTGGCGCGTGGACGGCAGACGGCTGGTGTTGACATATGTAGACTAAGTGTGATTGCGTGCGGGGGAGCGTCGGAGTAGCTGGAAGCGCATGAATAGCTTGCTGCACCTTGCCACCTGACGAATTGCTCTCCAATCTCGCAAAGTTTCAGGAAGCATTCTTGTCAATGCGTTCGTTGATATAAAAGCTAAGTGCACTGCTTTGGCTGTCACTTGGGCCGCCGTCATGCCTTTGATGGATGTGGCCTGGTAGCCCGTTGCACTCGAAACTGGCAGGTCGTGAAAATTCACAACGTATGTGTCGGCGATTCCCTTTGTCATTGCCTTGTGCAGCGCGTCGCCTTCCAAAAAACATGCTTTTTTTCCATGTATCGACGCATCGGCGATTATTTCCGAGGAAGTCCTGCTCCCCCGGGAGGGGGCAACGCGGAGCGTGGGAAATCATTATTTAGTGGTTTCGTCTTTTGCTGTCGTGCCTCCCGAACGCCACAGCTCTGCTGCTCGCATGATGGCATCGTGTTTTTGGAGATCAATGGCGTTCCCTGGCGGACGTGGGCCACGCGGAAAAGGCTCAGCCCGTTAGATACGTCAGCCCGAGACATTTTATGCACTGGGCAGTAGGTCCCAGTGAGCGGCACTCTGCCAACATGCGCTCCGTCATGTCCGACAAAGTGAAAGTTGATCCGCTGCCCGCGCGCTGGCGTGGGTCGTGTTACAGAAAGAGTATACCAGGGGTTGTCTGTGCGGCTACAATCTCGCGGCCCCTGCTTGCCGGGGGTGAAAAGGCGTGTGAGACATGCGGCTCCCGTCCCCCTTCTTTCTCTCTCCTCTGGTATGTCAAATGCCGTTGAAGTGGGGGGGGCGAGGGAGGGGGAGGAGGGTCGGGCATGCAAATGCACCCTTGGGGACTCCTGAGCCCCTGAAATTTCGAAGACGGCGCAGACGGAACGCCAGGACAGTCTAACCGAGCGTCGACACGACTCATGGTAGCCCCACGACGGTCGAAGGCGGCTTCAAGACGGCTCACGAAGCCACCAAGACGGCCCAAGAGTGCTCCCAGAGGACCGCAGAGAAAACCTCAAGAAACAAAAATCGCCCCATTCCCATCGGAAGACGCACCACCTTTGCATGCTCGCATGTTCGCTATGACAGCGTCTGAGATGGCCCAAGGCCCCCCCAAGGTCGACCCAAGGCAACCCATGAGGCTCCTAAGAGGGCCCTCTGACGGCCCAAGAAAGCATCCAGACGGCCCCAGGGACCAACAAAGCCGTCCTAGACAGACCCACGAGGGCCTCAGCAGAGCCGAAGAACAGGAATACGAGGGAGCATTTCGAACCTTACTCCCAAGATTTGCCGAAGTTCGCTGCGGAGGCGCCCCGGGCGTCCCCAAGAGACCGGAAGAGACCTCCAAGACGCTCCGAAGCAGCCCCCAAGAAGCTTCCAGGAAAGCTCCCAGGTGTCTTCAACAGCCCTGCAAGAGGCCCGTGAGAGGCATCCCAAGAGACCGTAAGATTCATCGACGAGGCTCTTGACCCACAGCCCAGCAATGGTGGCGAGTTGGTGCCGAAGGCTACCGGACGACTTTCATGATCGTCGCAAGCTCTCACTTTTTCTGGGGGTAGGCGGAGCGGCGTAAGCCATTTGAATAAGGTGGTATGCGGAACGTGGCAAGAGCCCCTGAAGCGGCAATGCCGCTTTGTCTGGAGCCACGTAAGGTGCTGGTCAAACTCCGCTGCAGTTGCTGGTTCTGAACAATATGCTTGTCGGATCTCACTCCAAACTTTGGCATGTTTTTCCTTTGCGTAGATATCATAGGCGACGTGCGCCAAAGAGCACGCTAGCATTACAGTGGCAAGAGCGCGTACGTGTCCAGGAGCACTGGGAGTACTTAGCGAGCCCGGGGGTGAAATAGTTGTGCAATGTCAGTGCTGGCCGGCCGGAGCTAGATGCTGATGTCGACGCACTGGCGCTCGACGCTTGCCGCTCGTGTGGAAGCGTGGCGTTGCGTATCCGAATGCCAGTTAGTTGCTTGAATTGGGCTCTGGGCATGTCTGCAGTGAGCTCCACGACACGCGGCCGCGCTCGCCTGTCCACTTCGGCGCGATCTTCTAATCGAGCACGTAATATGTCTACTTGTTCTTTTTGCTGGCGGACCATACGGCTCAGTGTGTTAAGCCCAGGGTCGGCGAGGGTGCGGGCCCGAGGGTCGTCCTCCAGCTTTTGAAAAGCAGCGGCCAACGCTGCCTCCTGCTGCTTCTTGTTCTGCGGCATTATACAAGATGGCGTGAACAACGGCGGCGCGACGTTCGGTGTGCTTGAGCCGAGACGGCCATGGAATAATGAATATCATCAGGTTTTCTTGCGTGGGGTTGTCCAACGATGTCTTTCGAGTTCTATATCAATATTGCCTCTGTTTTGGGAGTGGGGTCTTCCTATGTTCGGGAGAAGCTTGTGCCGGATACCTACCGTCCTCCTTGGATCTGGACGGGGCGTTTCGCGAGGGAATGGTGAGCTGAAGACGTCCCAAGATGGCTAGAAGAAGTGGTCGTGGTCGCCGTCGTCGTCGTCGTCGTCGTCGTCGTCGTGGTCGTCGTCATCGTCTTCGTCGCCGCCGCCGTCGCCGTCGTCGTCGTCGGCGTCGTCCCCGCTGCCGTCGGTGCTGCCGGCGGCGTCGTCGTCGTCGGTTCCCCCATTGTCCGTTTCAGCCGCGGTGGGCTCCAGGAGGTTCCAGAGCGACGGAAATGGTCAAAAGTCTCTTCGACTATCGAAGTTCGATCCCCGAGGTTCGATCCTCGACGTGACCTCCCCCTCTGAAAATCGAGGAAATCCGCGCGAATCGTAAGAAATGGAAACGTAAGAAATGGAGTTTCCCTGGAGGAACCTCCGCTCGGTGCGGATACGCGCGGAAACGTCAGGAATGGAGTTCTCCCGGGGCCTCTGGAAGAGAGGGAGTCTGTGGGAGTAATGGGCACACCAGGAGGTTAGCCGCCAGCCCGTGCAGCTCCAGGGAGGGGTTCGGGGACAAGGATGACGGGATTTGGAAACCAGAGGGGGGGGGGGGCGGAGGAGGAGGAGGAGGAGCACCATTTGGGCCCGGGAGGGGGGGCGGGCAGGAAAGCAGGAGGAGGCGCAAGAGGGGCGCAGGAGGGGCAAGAGTGGCAGCAGCAGAACGACGCCGGAGGCGCAGGATCTGAAGACAGCCTGAGGATAGCCCCAGAGGCGTCCAAGATGGCCGAAAGGCGACCGAACAGAGTCGAAAGACAACGCCAGAGGCTTTCAAAACGGTCCACGAGGCTCACAGTATTGGTCTATGACAGAGCCTTGCTGGTGCCGTGGGTGAGGTAGCGCGCACGAGTCGGCGGATTGTGTGCCACTTTTTGGGCAGAAGGCGTTCCAAGTTGTGCATGGGCTAGTCCAGGGCAAGGTTCCCGACGTGCATAACAGCCAGGCATGGCGGAGAGGAGGGTGAGACGGTGGATAAAGGATGCGAACGGGCATGCGGCTGGGGCAACTTGGGTGCAAGGTCAGTTGTGGCGTGTGCCGACCAAGAAGCAGCGCCGCTCACAGTGGACCTCGTTGTCGGACTGCCAAGCCATTTGCCAAGCGCATATGGCCAAGAATCGCTCTAGATTCGAGAAAGACATCATATGAGGACGGCTGTACATTGAGTCGCACAAGGTGGGCTCAGATTGTTCTGCGGCCTGTGCCGGCATGGTTCCTGGCCTCTGTACGACGAGCCAATGCCCACCCGCAGTGGGGGTCCTGAAGAGGTACGCTCCAATGTGAAACGCAGCCTGAGGACAGGAGAAGCCAGTGAACGGGTCTTGCAGACGTTCTTGAATTTCTCCGGGGGTCATTGGGAGCACGGCGAGATCGACGTTGGTGAAGTTGGCGTGGAGCACCGCGAAGTCGCAATTGCTTCCAAGGGGGTCCATGAGATTCCCTCGGCGGTCACCGGTGCGCGCGGACAAGGCCGTCCGCTCGAAGTGTTGTCTAGAGACGGGTGAAAAGGTCATGTTGTGCGAGTGCATGGTGCAGGACACAGCCGCATGGTTGAACGCGTGGAGCCCGCAAGTGCTTCCCGTTTGCTTTCTGGCGCTTGTAATGGCACCCGTTCCCGGGGAGTTGAACCACGACGGTGCCGTTGGGTAGGGGGGTAATGGCGTTGGTTGGTGCAGGTCGGTGTCGATGTGCATCTGCCATCTCGGTGTCGGCGGTACGGCTGGCGTCGGCGTGCCCTGTGACGTTCCCACGGGATGGTCACGGCCCTTGGGTGCAGGTAGTAGCGGAGGGGGCATCGGGTCTGCAGGTGTAGTCTTCCTGGATTTCGTGGGAGGCGGGGCATCGTTGGTGCCTTCCGTCGAAGAGGAGCTAGTCTTGTGCTTTTTGAGGTCGCCCGTGGGTGTGAGCGTCTGCGGTTGATGTCGTTTGTGGGGCGTGGGTTTGGTAGGTGTTGTTGCGTCGTCAGCGGGGTCTGGGGCTGCGGTCGGGCGCATCGCGGCGAAGGTCGTGCATTGGCGTTTCGTGGCGTGTCCGACGCCAGGGTCGGTCTTGGGAGCGGTAAGGTTCGTGGGCCTCGTGTTGGGTGGTGGGGGTGGCCGCTGCGCTTGCGTGGTGGGGTGGGCGTCGGGTTGATCGTTGGGAGAGGCAGTGTCCTCTTCCAAGGGATGGGATGGTCGGAGTTGGTTGGCGTGGGTGGTGGGCATCTTGGAGCACGCTTCGTCCCAGGCCTTAGCGTCGTAGATGCAATGTCGGTCAGTAGGCGAAAGCTTCGTAGCTAGAGGTGCGTGTTCCCAAATTGGGAAGATCTTTAGCGCGCGACGCGCGGTTTCAATGGAGGGCTTCGTTCTCGCAGCACGGCGTTCTAATTCATCGAGACATGCCACCAAGTAGTCAGGAGGGCCTTCCTCAAACCAATGCCAATCGAATTCGTTGCCGTCGGCGTCGGGCTCAGGCAAGCGGGGGAAGTTTTCGAACAGGGACCGCGATAAGCGCTGAGATCTTCCGAGAATCACGTACAGGTGCTGCTTGTATTCGGGGTCGCTCATATAGTCGGGCTTGCGCAAGTCGATGGTGTGACCGATGGGTTGTCCGCTGGGCTCGCGGACGGTTTTGCCTTGCATGCTCTGAAGTGTTCCGACGCGTTCTGGCGCGGTGGGAAGTTGGCATCGGGTCATGTGGACGTCGTGTTTCTGGAGTCTGTGCGTTGGCATGGCGCGTGGGTGGTTCACCGTGGCACGGACCTGCCATTGGAAAGTCCACGTGTCACGTGTTGGTTCTAGATGCCACACGCCAGGCTTCTTCAGACCGGTGTAATCCTCTGTGGCGTCGTCAGCGCGGAACTCCACATAACGCGGCAAGCGGTCCAGGAGGACCCAACCTGTTTGCCAGCAAGGGTGGTCCGGAGGAGGGCGTCGTGGACGTCCGCGGGCGATGCCCCTGCCAAAGGCCTCCTCATCGTGGAAAGCAATGCCGACGATTTCTCCAGGCGCTTCCTGGACGAGCTCTGGCGCTAATATTTTCTTTGCGAGCTTCGCCCGCATGCCGAGATACAAAGGTCCGCCAGCCACTGGTGTTCAGCGGCCACGCGGCGCTGCAAACTTGATGATGTCTGGGCGCTCGTTCTACCGCTTGGGCTTGTCAGTGGAGGAGGGGTCGGTGCGGGGGTCCGCTCACTGTGTGTGCGTGTGAGCGTGGGGGTGCTTTGGGAAGAGCTCGCTTGCGGCGGGATGAAGATGTAGGTTTCGGAAAGGAGAGACACGGTTTGATGAGCTTCCCCTGGCGTGGGACTTGGGGGCGGCGGACGGCGGCAGCCGTTTGAAGAGCATACCCATGAGTCCTGGAGTCTTGGAGCTCATGTTTGCCACTTGGAGTGCGTCCGTGTACATGTCTGGACGTGACCTGTAAACGGCCTGGTGCGGGATGTCGACAGCTTGGACGTAATAGAGTAGCTGTCCGCAAGGCTGGAGGTAGCGATGTACGCGGTCGCAGACGGCGGGCAGCCAGAGCGCTCCTCGAAGCGTGTCACTGGAGAAGAGTCGGTTGCATAGTGCCGGGGGGCAGCCCCAGCGAATGCACTGCGGCGACCCTCTGGTAGAGTTGCGCGAAGCGACTGGGCCTCCACTTAAGGGGGCAGACAGTGCAGCCCACAGTTGTTGTTTACGGCCAACGGTCTCCCAGTTGATGGCGGAGTGGTACCCTTGGGCGAAGAAGCCAGGCATGGCAGTGGGAGCGCCGGACTCGTCGTGCAGAATGTAGGACGGGTCGGCACGCTGGTCGACGTCGTGATGCAATACGCATCGAGCGGCGAGTTGCTCCTTCAGGGAGGGCGGGAGTTTTTGCCCCCCAGGTGTGCGCATGATCTTCAGGATTTCTGGTAAGGGATCCCCTGGCGCGAAACGGTGCCACCCGTGGAAGAGGATAACTGACTCCGAGAGCCTATCAAAGATGTCCCAGCCTTCTTTGTCGAGACGCTCCTTCTCAATGCGCTGGTCTTTGTCCATGCCGTCGTAAGTGGGAGCGCGGGGCATGTGTATTGCAGTGCCGCGCAGAAATGTCTGCAGTAGCGAATGCGTTCGGACGGGGTTCAGTTGCATGAAGTCCCCCACGACGATCTGCGCGAGTACGTTCCCGAAAGTTGCATCCGTGAACGACGCAGGGTCAAGGTTGCGGGAGCTGTGGCGTCCCCAATCCGCTATTGCGTTAAGGACAGTCAACAGCTGAGGATCAGCTAAGCTCGCCTCGTCGATCATGGCCAATGCGAGCTGGCCCGAAAGGTGTCGCATTTTCTCCTGGGCTTGTCTGGAAGGACGCTTTCGGGTGAGAGTCTGCTGGCGAGTCAGGCCTGCCATGAAATGGAAAGTGGCGCCACCAATGAGCCTCGCAGCGCTGTTCTGGGCCGCGAACCCGCGGGTGCAACCGGGGAAGAAGTGGTCATATACAGGTAGAACAACTTGAGTCATGAAAAAGGTTTGGCCGGATCCTCCAGGGCCGTGCAGGAAGACGCGCTGCACGAGTCTGGTGGGAACGTCCATGAGGAGCTGCCGTCTGCCAGCGCTTGTTCGGAATTCGGCAAGCTGTCCGCGGCCTGCTGCAAAGTCCCACAGCGCTTGGAGCGGTGATGTACAGAAGAGCGTGGCCTCGTATTGATCTTGAGGAATGCGGTAGGTGTCGGTATGCCCGACGCGGTGGGGCAGTCGCTCAGCCATCAGCTTTCGCGCGCACATGGCGGGGGAGCAGCCCCAGGGCGTGTCTGGGTGGAACGCTGCCTCCAAAGGAGTCTCGTCGTCGTCGTCGGGGATCTCGGCGTGGCCATGTTCAGGTGGTGCGACGCGTACCTCCCGTTCTTCTTGGGCGGCGCGCTCTTCTCGCAAGCGTCGTTGCCTGTGTGAGTTGGGGGGGGGGCATCGTTGCGGGTATTGCGAGAGGAGAATCGGGGGGGATTACGAGTTCAAAGGCAGTGGAGGTGCGGAAGGAGGGAAAGACTTGAAGAAGGAGCGGGGAGAAATATGGTAGGGAGGGCGCGGAGCCTCTGCATGGCGAGGTTGTCTGCGGCAGGTGTGTGCTGCGACCCAGCCCGAAGAGTAGGGGTTGTAGTCCGAGGCTCGCGGAGGTGCTCGTAGAGGTGGGCCTTTGCGTTGAGGAACTCCTGGATGCGGACAAATCTGTCGCCCGACCGTTTGTCCAATTTTCCAGCAGAGAGATGTCGGTGCACGACGTCCAGCACGTCGGAGTCACGTACACGCACGTGTGGTTTGTATTGGACACCGGTCGGGGTGTCGCGCTCGGTGCCGTCGTCGCATTCGGGGTCTGCGCCGGCGGGGTCTCCGATGTCGCCCGCGTCAGCCCTGGCGGCCTGCAAGCCAAGGTGCGCGTCATCATCAACGAAAGCTCCTTTGTGCAATAGTGCAGGTCGTGGCCGTTTCCGGGCCTCGGCCATGAAGTTTTAGTTAGCGCTGCTTTCGACCGTAATTAGCGCGAAGAACTCTTTCGGCGTAAGTTGTTCGTCGTGCACGCCGAAAGAGGTGAAGGGTGCAGTGCTTGCTGAGTCCTGGGTGGGGTCAGCTACCTGTGCGCGGGTGTTGGCGAGGCCGGGGGTGTTGCTGAATCGTAAGGCTTCGGCGTTGTAGTCGATGACGTCGGAGACGAAGCCGAGAATTCTCCGAGCGACGTCGGGTGGCAACGGCCGGAGGAAGCCTGCGGGCTGGCCGTCGTGCTGGGCGCGGTGCGTCCGAACGAAAAGCTTCCTCGAGGACGGAACGCGTGCACCGGCAATGCGTGGTGCTCTGCAATGCAGCGCGCCTCCCCCGGACCATGGTCCAACGTAGCAGTGCCGGTACGCTCCGCAAAGCCACGGGATCAACCAGTCGTGGACCATGCAGTGAGTTTGGGCCCCGTCGACCATCCATGACCGAAGGGCCGTGGTATCGAGAAGAGTAGGAACACGGCGAGCACGCTGTAGTTTGGCATCGGCGCGTTGGGCCAGTGTGATTTGTTCAGCTTCGAAAGCTCGCCACGGTTCCAGGAAGCGGTCCATGCCTTTGCGCGGGGTAACGGCTAGAATGAGCAGTAGGACTTCTGCAGCACTCCTTGTTTTGGCACCTCGTTGGTCTGAACAAGGTTTGCTGCATCATCGCATGGGTGGAAGCGTCGGAAGCCTGCGTAGGCAAGGTGATGCCATGTAGGTACGGTGTCCGCGGCGATTCCAGAAGAGTCTGTACAGTAGTCGCCGCTTTGCAGTAGTGGGCCTCGAAGGGGAGTGCTTGATGCCGCGTAGCTCTGCTTCAGCGCGTGGGCAGACGTGGACGTACATGACATAATGGTAGTACCCCATGCTGGCAAAAGGTTCTAAGGAGCCTCGGTGCAACCAATCATCGTAGAAGTCATCCGTGGACAGGCGCGCTGCGGGGTCTTCCGCTGGGGTGGCGTTGGTGGCCGCGGTCGGGGGACGCGCCTCGGGAAGGGGAGGGGGGGTCGGCGCAGGACGCAACAGCTGGATGTTGGACAACTTGTGGTGGGTTTCAGGTGGTGCGTCGGCGGCTCCAGTCTCCAATTGCCTCAGGGTTTCCCGAGCGGACCAGGCCGGGCGTTTCATCATGACTCGCCAGTGCTTGTGTGTTCGGATAGTTTCCCGTCCTGTTAAAAGTTGGAGATCCATCAAACAGCATCCCTTCATGATGGCATGGTTCGCCGAGGACCAGAGTCGGATGAGGCGTCGGCGTGCCTCATTCTGCGAGCTTGATAGGGGCGTCGGGCCTGCGTGTGCGGTTGCCACCAGAGCGCCAGGTCTGCAGTCTGCGTTGTGGACGGCACCCATCTGCAGGTAAGCTGTCATAGCTGCGGTGTCGTGCTCTTTTTTCATATGTGCCTCGAGCTGTTCCATGCCGTGCGTGAGATGCTGCAGAAGAGGCCCACATGTCATGTTGGGCTTCGTGTTGTAGTCGCAAGTGTAGAAGCTCGTCTGGATCCCACTGCGGATGGACTCGACCACTGAGTAAACGAGGTTGGTGCGGATAGCCAGTGCCTCTGAGCTGAGGACAGCGTCCCCGACGCGGCGTCGTTCAGCAGCGCCGTGTCTCGCACAGGAGACGAAGCACGTCTGCTTGCAGCAGAGCAGGAGCATTGTTGTCGTCGGCGGCGGTCCCAAGAACGAGGATACCACCCGATGGGCGGCAGCATCGGCGTACCGTCCGTTGGTGGCATGGTGAAATCGGCCGACCTCCGGTAAAAGGAGATGGGGAGTGTGAGGGTCCTGGCGACCCGAAGGTGAGTTCCGAGAGAGCCCAAGATGGCCTCGCCCTCAGAAGGCTCGCAGGGAGGATATGCGACTGAGAGGAAAGCAACCAAGCTGATCCCTACAGGGAACTTTGCGTCGATTCCCTGGGTGTCCGTTTGGGCGAAGTGGGTTCCCAGTGGAAGGCCTCATGAGGGTTCTGGTGGGTGCCTTTAGAGTCCCTTGGTGGCCTTCGGGGTGAGCTCAGCACGTTGCCATGCGAGTCTCAAAATGAGCACAGCACGGCAGCATTGGAGGCATCTTTGGTACTGAAGCCGTGCGAGGTGAGCTCAGCACGCGACCATGCGAGCCACTGGCATTGGAAAGGGCGCGCGTGTGGAACGAAGTGAAAGGAACGCGAAGAAGAGGTTCGAGCTTCTACAGTGTGCATTGAAAGGCGGATCCAAGACGGCGTAAAGACGGCTCCAAGAAGGTGGGGTCCGAGAAAGCTTAAGATAGCCTCGTCCTCAGAGGGGTCGTCGGGGTGATATGCGAATCAGAGAAAAGCCAGGAAGTGGAGCCCTGGACGAGCTTTTAGTCGGTTCCCTGGTTGTCCGTTTGGGCCAAGTGTGTTCTCAATGGAAGGCCTCATGAGGGTTCCGGTGCGTGTCTTCGGAGTCCCTTGCGGGCCGTCGGGGTGAGCTGAGCACGTTGCCCTGCGAGCCTCGAAATGAGCACAGCACGGCATCATTCGAGGCATGTGAAGTAATTGAAACACGGAACCAAGATGGCGTGAAGACGGCTCCAAGAAGGTGGGGTGCGAGAAAGCTTAAGATGGCCCCGCCCTCAGAGTGCTCGTAGGGGCGAGATGCGAATCAGAGAACAGCCAAGAAGTGGACCCCTGGAGGAACTCTGCGTCGGTACCCTGGTTGTCCGTTTGGGCCAAGTGGGTTCCCAGTGTGAGGCCTCATAACGGTTCCAGTGAGTGTCTTCAGAGTCCTTGGTGGCCTTCGGGGTGAGCTCAGCACGTTGCCATGCGAGCCTCGCAGGGAACACAGCACGGCATCATTCGAGGCATATGAAGTAATCGTAATTCAAAGGCGGATCGAAGGCGACGGGAAGACGGCTCCAAGAAGGTGGGGCCCGAGAATGGTTAAGATAGCCTCGCCCTGCGAGGGCCCGTAGGGGTGAGATGCGAATCAGAGAAAAACCAAGAGGTGGACCTGACAAGGAACATAGCGTCGGTTCCCTCGTTGTCTGTTTGCGCCAAGTGGGTTCCGAGGAAGCTTAAGATAGCCTCGTCCTTAGGGGGGTCGTCGGGGTGATATGCGAATCAGAGAAAAGCCAAGACGTGGAGCCCTGGAGGAGCTTTTAGTCGGTTCCCTGGTTGTCCGTTTGGGCCAAGTGTGTTCTCAATGGAAGGCCTCATGAGGGTTCCGGTGCGTGTCTTCGGAGTCCCTTGGGGGCCGTCGGGGTGAGTTGAGCACGTTGCCCTGCCGCCCTCGAAATGAGCACAGCACGGCATCATTCGAGGCGTGTGAAGTAATTGACAGACGGAACCAAGATGGCGTGAAGACGGCTCCAAGAAGGCGGGGTGCGAGAAAGCTTAAGATGGCCCCGCCCTCAGAGTGCTCGTAGGGGTGAGATGCGAATCAGAGAACGGCCAAGAAGTGGACCCCTGGAGGAACTTTGCGTCGGTTCCCTGGTTGTCCGCTTGGGCCAAGTGGGTTCCCAGTGGGAGGCCTCATAAGGGTTCCAGTGCGTGTCTTCAGAGTCCTTGGTGGCTTTTGGGGTGAGCTCAGCACGTTGCCATGCGAGCCTCGAAGTAAGCACAGCAAGTCATCATTCGAACCATTTGACATACTGAAGCCGTGTGAGGTGAGCTCAGCACGCCACCATGCGAGCCACCAGCTCTGCAGAGGCTGTGCGCGTGAAAGGGAGTGGAAGGAAAGCGAAGAAGAGAGCCGTTACATAATGCATTGGAAGACGGGTCCAAGACGGCGTGAAGACGGCTCGGAGCCTTTCGGATAGGAATTTCAAGCTACGCAGACCATCGCGGTGCATGTGCAGGATGGGTGGAAGTCCTGCTCGCTTAGTTAGCGGGGTATCCGGCCGAAGGTAATCCTCGGAGTTGTCGTACTCATACCCGTCCGTGAGGGTGTGGCGACAATCCTGGTAATCCAAATTCCCTCTGTGCGCAACCTTTCCTGCCATTGTCGTGCTGCCCTCTCTGGGGTTGAACCGCACTGTATTGATGCGCCCACGGCGTGCCTGCCTGTCGTCGGGTTCGACGCTGGCACCAAGGGAGCCATCGGTGAACAATCCAGTGTCGGCCAGGATAGGCATGGACTGAGTGTCTATAGGAGGCTGGCCACGTACTCGTGGCAGCTGTGGCTCCTTTCCCACGCGGGCCAGTAGCCGTTCTACAATCCGCTCCTTGGCCTCACCTTGACCTGGGCTGTCGGTGGTGGACGGCAGCCAGAGTCTGACGAAGTGCACGAATCCGAAACGGCAGTGTTGAGGCTTGCGAGAGATGCCATTCTCTATGTACTTGAAGCATGTGTCATGGTGCTGATGGATGTGGCCGCTGAGGCTGCTGATGTTCCAGTGATCTTCTGCGAATGCAGCCGCATAAGCCGCAGCTTCGGCCTGCGTAGTCGCATCGTCGTGGGTGGCGGTCGCGAAGACCTGAGACCTCGCCGCGCAGCCGACGCATGGGCACGATGGTTGCGTTTCTGGGAGGATGCGGTAGTGCGGGAGCTTTGAAAGTGTCGCGCCTGTCAAAGGAAGGGCGCGTTCTCGAACTGGGTTGCCTGTGGTCGCGTCGCGCGGCGTCTGTAGGTAGCGTAGGACATGATGGTCGACGAAGGCGGGCGCTGGAGGAACCAGAAGTCGTCGCCTGGTAGGGCCCTCTCGGTCGCCCTCGAGGTCGCCGTCGAACTTGTCCTCGCGCTGCCACCTCTCAAGGTAAGGGGTGCTTTTGAGGGGTGGAGCCTCTGAGGCGTGGTCCACGAAGTGCAGTGGGACAGTCGCGGAATATGTAATCTGTAAGGCCTCGACGGCTTGGAGCACAGCGCGCTGCCAACGTTGCAGAGTCGATCGCGCCTCGGCTGTGTCTTTGCGGAGGACGGAGCGCAACCATGATTGAGACGTTCGGTTGACGAAGTGGAGCACCATGTGGGAATGCGTGCTCAGGCGCGCTTGATCCTCGATGGGCCCGCTCAACGATGCAATCATGTTCATCCCGCCTCCCACGGCGGAAGCTGCGTAACCGTCAGGAAAGACGACTCCATTGGCTGTCCCATTGTGCTGGAGCAACTCGTCGAAGGGCCCAGTTCCCAAGATATGTTCACAGAACAATCGCATGCTGAACCGCGGACCCGGTACTGTCGGGCGCTCGGTGGCTCAGTGCAGACGGAGGAGGTGATAACGGCGAGGTGTAGGGAGGCCAAGGCGGAGGGGGCAATGAGGGGGCCAGGGTGGCGCTCGAAGGAGGTGGTTGGTGGGCTAGGTATTCCACGCGCTGGCCGTCTCCCGGCCTGCGGCCGAGTCGGCGCAGGGGTGAGCAGGGGTGGGGGGGCCGGGGAAGCCACAGCCAGCGCTGTTTGACAGACGTGTTTGGGAATCGGCGATGCGGAGGGGGTCGGCGGAAGGTGCCGGAAGCTTGGAGATAATGAAGAACCTCGCTTGCGCAACAGGGTCTTTGGCGATTATTTCTAGCATCCTTTGCGCTGTTGGCATCGTTGGGTTCTCGTCGAGGAGAGAGATGGAATGCCTTTCCGTGGCGCCGTCGTCATCGAGTCATGGAAGGGGAGGGGGCCTGACAACTGCTGAAGTGCGTGGAGGGTGGGTGTGGAGACGCTGGGGAGGAAAGTTTCTGGCAGGGAAGGCTTCCAGTTTTTCAGCGGTGCGGAGATGTGAGAGACATGGGGGAGAACCTAGGATGGGGGAGAGGGAGGGGCGTCTTTGAGCAGAAGTCGGTCCTCCGCTGGTGTGGCTGAGGGAACCGGCATGCAGGATCACCGCTAAAGGGTTCCGGGTGTCCGCAACGTTCGGGGTGAGGAAGCCTCCTATGCCACCGAATCGGAGCATGTCCCCCATCTGCTCGTGGCGAAGCTGTTGACGAGCACCCTCGGAACCGACAACGTCGCTGCTGAAGAAGAGGAGGTTGCGTACGGCCTCCCGCAACGAGGCGGGAGCGTTGTCAGAAAGCAAGCACTCACGGAATCCGGCTCTATCACCCATGGAGTCGAAAGCGGATCGGAGTTGGGTTCCCGTGGCCTGGCAGACGAGGTTGACGCTGGTTTGGAAACCTCTTCGTCGTACGTGGGCTCCGGCTTTGCGCGTGAGCTCCATCCTGCGCCAGGAGTCGTACAGGACGCATAGGAAGTCGAGATCGGCGCCCCAGCGTGGTTGGGCTGGTGGGACGAACGGCGTGGTTCCTCTGGCGCATTGCACACACGGTCGAGCGCCGCGCTTTACAAGAGGGCAGTCACGTGGCAAAGTTTCTTGGACCTGATAGCGGAGCTCAGCACGTAGCAGGAGCATGCGACACCATTGCTGGAAAGACAACGGGCGGCGTCGGTCGATGCCGTAGACGCCATCCCCGTACGGAAACAGGTTGGGAAAGGCTTTTTGCCAAAATTCTTTGTCGTACATGGAGAGGGGCCGTTTGCCTGTAGGAATGACCCAAGTTCCGTCAGGGTGTTGCCGGGCGGCAGGCTCTCGGCTTTCTGCCGCTTCCATAGCCTGTAAAGTGCTGTCCAACTGCTTGCGGTATTCGTCAGAATTCAGGTATTTTGCCAAGGCCTGCAAAGACTCAATCTCGGTGGCGACGTCGGTTGTGGGTGCATATGTGGAAAGTTTGGAGGATAAGGAGCTCGAGCTTGGCGGCGAACTCGCAAGCTGCTCGGTCAGCGTCCAGCGCACCCGTGGAGAAGTCGGTTGCGGCGCAGTGGAGGTTGACGTCGTCGGAGTCGGGGTGAAGTTCGTCGGTGGTCTCTGGGCGTACAGGCGGTGGTGCGGTGTCGGGGTCGACGTGGGGCGTCGGTCTGGCGGTAGGATCTTCCATGGCTCTCCCGTCCTCTGTGATGATGCTTTCTGGCACGTGGACTTCGGGTGCGTCGAGCGTGGCAGGTCCAGGGATGAGGTGCGGCGTATGTGTGGTGGCCTCTACGCGGGTGGCTTGTTGGAGAACCTCTGCGCAGCTGTGTCCTGCTTCTTGGAGTCGTCGTGCGGCTTCATTCTCGTCAATGTCGAGTGCGTGGCAAGCCTCCGAGTGCGCCACGCAGAAGCGCACTGCCGTCATGTATGCTTCTCGAGGGACTTCAGCCCACGTAGCTTTATCCAAGTCGTCTACGGATGCGCCGGCAAGTGCGATGGAGAGGCCGTCGGCGAAGAATTGCTGAGAAACCTCGTGTTCGGCAGGTAGGGCTTGTGTCGCGAGCTCTTTGGCGTAAGCCTGCGGGAAGCAAATTGAATTGCTACGCAACCCCTTCTGCTTCGCGCGGGGATCTGCCTTCTTTGTCTTCTCGGCGATTATTTTCCGAACGAGCATGCGGGCGAGGGCGAGCATGGCGAACGTCATGGGGGACAGCTTCGCACCGTTTTTCCGGAATGCGACAGGTTCTCGCAATATGAGGTTGTCGTTAGCCAGAGCGTACCGAGGGAGGAGGGGCGTTTTCTTGGAGAGGTCGAGCCTGCAGCTAAGGCACGTGGGTATGGAGGGGAAGCGACCCTCGGAGTCCGGCTGCAGCGTGTTGTCCGGGAGCAGGCCGGGACCACCGTCCATGGAGACAGGGATCGCTGTGGTGTCCAGTATCCAACGGCAGGCAGTACCGTCGGAAGCCGTGGCCCAAGGGTGCACGACGCTTGTGCCGTGAACCTCTGCTCGGGGCAGGGTGTGGTGGCCCCCTGATGATTCGGGAGCCCGCCATCGGTCCATGTAGGCATCTGCTGAGAGGAGGTCGTTGAGTTTCCGTGCGCGAGAGTGCACCTGGGCGGAGCCGCGTTGGACTTCACCATCATCGCCGTCGTAATCCTCGTCGAGGTCCGGGCGAGGCCCGTTTGTAGAGCCTTCGGCGGGCCGCGGGTCGAACAGCTCGAACTCTTCGAGGTCTTCCTTCCAGAACATCATGGCGCACACAGCGCAGCTGGATAGACCCCGCTCTTGGCCGTTGTGTAGTGGAAGGTCGTGGTCGATCTTGTGCGTTCCAGGGTAGCTGTGCGTCTGATGGCGTGCGTGCGCGCTGACGGCACGTCTGACTTCTTGTCCTGCGACAGGAAACGGGCCGTCACGCTCCTCGTAGTAGAAAACTCGCTTTCTGTACTCTTCCTCGAGGCGCACGGCCTCGAGTCCGGCAACACTGCAGTGAGCCTCGGGCAGGTGCTCGGCGAGGCCGCCATCCCCGAGTGGGGGGAGCGCGGGGAGCGAGTAAACCGAGACAAACAGCTACAAATCGGAGGGCATGTGCGTAGAAGGGGTGTGTCGCAGAAAGCAGGAGGGGGGCAATGAAGAGGCCTTGTGTATTTAGTGGGTGAGGTGGGCTTGCAGATAACACGAGGCGTGCAGGCGATGGGGGGGGCAGGAGTGGTACGAATGGAGTTGTGGCGGGGGGGGTGGGGGGAAGCGGAGAAAGCCACACGCGTGCTGCATAACGAATCCTTGGAATCGCAGCCATGACCACAGAGGTAGCACGCGACGGGGGCGCCACAGAGTGGTAGGCGAGAGAAGGAATGCCGAGTGCCGTGGTCACGCAGGAGGTGGGCTGGAAGGTAGGAGTCGCAGATCGCCGTCTCAGTCCAGATATCGCGGCCCAGCTGCCCTTCCCATTGCCGAATCTCCTCTTCGGAGAGCTGGGCTCGGAAGAGAACCTTGCGGTTCAGAGCTGGGTGGAATCTGTGCTGGTCGCCAAACCGAGCCTGTCGGGTGACTGCCAGTTGACGCGCCAGCTCCGCTCCATTGTATGCTTGATTTTGTCCCCGGTGGGTTCGAGCAGCAGGTAGCCTATGGTTCGCGTCTTTGGATGCGACAACATCGTCGAGCAAAGTGTCCTCTTCCCAGTCGAATGTCTCGGAGGTGTCGGGCAAGGAGTTGAAGAGGTCCACGGTGGTTTGCCACGCAGCACGCTCTTCTGGGGATAGTGGCGTCCTGGGTGTCCAAGATGAACCCATTCGGGGGATCTTCGTGCGGGCAGCAAGGGCGTGATGTAGACATTTGCGAAGTAGACGCTCCTGTCGAAGGTGTGATTGGGGGGGGGGGGCGACGGTGGTCGTTGATGAAGTTGCGCAGTGCAATGGCCAAGTCTGTTTGGGAAAGCCTCGCGCACGTAGCTTCGTATACGAGGTCAGACCGGGAGGAATCCCGGGAAGACGTAGAGGATAAGCGGAGGGCGCTCCTGGCAGCCTCCTGGTGCAGAGTGTCGTAGGGGCATGTCCGTAAGGCTTGCAAATCGCCCGCTGTAATCGGCAGGGTGACGTAGGGCTCGGTGTCTGCAAGGATTTGTTTCGCACGTTGCCGACGATGTCTTCCCAGGTCGGCGGAGTCAATGTCATAGGCGAGGCACCGCGCGTCGAGGGCGGGGTCGAGCGCAACGTCGCTGTGCGTGGACTGCAAAGGGCAAGTGTCGAGAGCGAGCTGGAGTAAGGAAGGCCAGACGTCTGGATGTTGCTTAGCCCACTGCACGACGGCGGAGAGGCGGAGAGGTTGCTCCCAAATTGGGATGCGCAGCAGCAGGTCAACCTGATGAACGATCTTCTCGATGTACTCCTGTCCGTGAGCGGCACAGAGTTGCTTGTCGAAGGGTAGGCCGAGCGCTATGCACCAGGCTGTGATAGTGACAGGGGCGTCAGCGCGGGAGGTGTGGAGTTTCCACGTGGGCAGCCAGGCGCGCAAGTGTCGTTCCCAATCTTACGGATGCTGGCGAGCCCATTGCTTGATGAAAGCCGCGTCGAAGTGGTGGGGCCACTGAGGCTCCGCTCGCAGTATGGCAGTTGCGTCGACGATTTGGTGGATGTACTGGGGCCTCAGATCGTTTCGGAAGCCTCTGAACGGAATGAGGAGGGCTGCGCACCAGTCCTCGATCGTAACCTCGTCGGGGCCTCTCTGCTTTCTCGCGGGTTTCCAGACGGACAGTCCGCGTCGTAACTGTGTCTCCCAAGTGGGGGGTGCATTGTGGGCCCAGTCTTGGATGAATGCGCGGGTGAGGAGAGGTGGCCACTGAGGCCCAGGCGGGTCGGGAGGGCCTGGAGGCTCGGCGTGCGTGGCAGGGGCACTGTATATCTTGGCGGCGGCTGCGACGATGCAGTCCGTCAGGCGTTGTCGGTGAGTCTCGTCGTAGCTGTGAAGAGGAATGTTCAGAGCGACGCACCCGTCTTCGACGGAGGTGTCCTTGGGTCCTCGCCGGTGGGATGCCATGGGGCACGTGGAGAGGGTGTGTCGCAATTTGAGTTCCCAATCAGACGTGTGCCGTCGCGCCCATGCGCGCATGAAACTGGTGGTGATGTCGGACGGCCATGCTTGCACGAGCGACCGAGCTGCCGTGAGAATGCGTTGCACGTACTCGGAGCGCAAGTCGTTGCGGAATCCTTTGAATGTGACGCCGAGGGCGATGCACCAATCTTCGAGTGTGATGTCCCTGCTGCCGCGCCGCTGTCTCTTTAAAGGGCCCCATGCCTGTAGGCCCGACTCCAGGGTCGCTTCCCAGGCGTTCCCTTGAGACGCGATCCATGTGGTGATGAAGTCGGTGGTGAGGTGGCGAGGCCATCTTGTTTGGGGCGTGCGTTCCGCAGGCGAGCTTGGTGGAAGTAGGCGCGCTGCTGTGAGGATCCGTTGCACGTACTCGGTGCGCAGGTCGTCGTTGTACCCCTTGAAGGGCACGCCCAAAGCGATGCACCAATCTTCGAGTGTGATGTCAGTGCTGCCGTTTCGCTGCCTCTTTCGAGGGCTCCATGCTTGTAAGCCCGACTCCAGGGTCGCTTCCCAGGCGTCTCCTTGAGACGCAATCCATGCGGTGATGCAGTCGGTAGTGAGGTGTCGAGGCCATTTGGTTGGAGCCGTGCGTTCCGATGGCGAGCTTCGTGGAAGCAGGCGCGCTGCTGTGAGGAGCCGTTGCGCGTACTCGGAGCGCAAGTCATTGCGATACCCTCTGAAGAGCACTTCGAGGGCGATGCACCAGTCTTCCACGGTAATGGTGGTGAGGCCCTGACGCTGGGCTTTACGGGGCTTCCATGTTTGCAGACCCGTTGTCAGAGACGATTCCCAATTGTCGCCATGAGTCGCAATCCAATCCGAAATGAAGGCCTTGGTGAGTGTGCGCGGCCAACGCGTCGACGAAGGCATGTGTGCTCGGGGTATGGCGATGCAGGAATGTCGCCAGACGTGAAACACATTGCAGCAGGCCTTGGGTGCGCGCGCCCGGTCGGATCCAAGTGGCGACGGATCCTGGGGGCTCCAGGGGAGGCCATGGGGCCATGGGGCAACGTGAAAGTCATGTTGGGGGCATGTTGCACCGCAGTCCGGAGAGAAAGGTAGCGGGAGGGAAGATGGTGCGTCTTGGAGGTGAGCTGAGCACGCGACCATGCGAGGGACGAGGTGAGCTCAGCACGTTCCCATGCGAGCCACCACCGGCAGGCCGGAGAGAAAGGCAGCGGAGAAAAAGATAGTGCGTCTTGGAGGGGAGCTCAGCACGCGACCGTACGAGTGACGAGGTGAGCGCAGCACGGTCCCATGCGAGCCGCCGGCGGGGGGGGGTGTCGCGGGTGCACATGGCGGGCGAGGCAAGGGAGTCGGAGGGCCCTGGGAGGCCCCTGGCGGCCTCGGGTATGGTGAGGGGGTGTGTAGGGAACGTTTATAAGGAAAAGGGTACCAAAAAAACGACGGCACGTGTTGGAGGTGGGGAGCGCACGCGACCAAGCGAGGCAGGACGTGAGCTCAGCACGTGTCCATGCGAGCCACATGGAAGGGAGGGGGGGAGCTCAGCACGCGACCATGTGAGTCACGAGGTAGGCTCAGCACGCTTCCATGCGGGCCACAGGAAGGGAGGGGGCGCGATGTCGCAGGACGGGCGAGAGGATGGAGTTTGGGGGATGTGGAGGTCCTGGGGGCTCTCGGGTTGTGCTGGAGGTTTTGTCGGGCACGTGTCTGACTGTATGAGGACTGAATTGGACGACCTGCGGCGTGAGTCTCCTGGGGTCCTCGGGTTTCGTGGGAGGTTGTGCCGGCCGCTTTTCTGAGGAGAAGGTGGCCCCAAAAAACGGCGGTACGTGTTGGAGGCGGGGTCTCTTCGGGCGGGGAGCCCGAACTGTCGGTCCCTGCCCCCCCTCTGGGGGCTCTCTTGAGGCGTTCCTGGGTCCTTCTGAAGCCGTCTTGGAAGGCTGCGAGACCCAGGGAAGGAAAGCAGAGGATGCCTACATGGTGCACTATGTTGGTTCCCTGGTTGTCCGTTTGGGCAGTTGGGTTCCGGCGGAAGGGTTCGTGAGGCTTGCTGGGGCCTTCTTCAGACTGTCGTGAGGGGCCTTCGGGGTGAGATTAGCGAGTTGCCATGCGCGAGGCGAAGTGGGCGCAGGACGGGGCCATGCGAGGCCTCAGAAGAACTCGGGTTTGGTCAGGTAGCGCGCTGGAAAGGGCGAAAAGAACGATTTGCGGGAGTTGGCCGAGAGGTGATTGGAACGAGATGCGAGACCCATGGAAATAAAGAAGAGGATGCCTTGATGGTGTACTATGTTGGTTCCGTGGTTGTCCGTTTGGGCAGTTGGGCTCCGAGACAGATTAGGTGAGCTCAGCACGCGACCATGCGAGCCACCGGGTTTGGAAAGGATGTGCGCAAGAAAAGATGACAGAAGGAACACGAGCGTGAGTGGAGCACGTTGCCACACAACGCAGTCTGGGGGACTGGTGGGGACTTGACTGGGGGACTTGTGGGAACTTGACATTTCGACTGGGGCTTTTCTGGCCAAGCTTCCTGAATGAAAAGGTATCCAAAAAAGGACGGTGCATCTCGGAGCGGATCTCAGGACGCCATCCTGGGGCCCTCTCGAGGCAGTGTCGGGGTCCGAGGCGAAGTGTGCAGAGGACGGGGCCATGCGAGGCCTTAGGGGAACTTTGGTTTGGTGAGATAGCGCGCTGGAAAGGGGAAAAAGAACGCTTCGTGGGAGTTGGCCGAGAGGTGATTGAAAAGAGATGCGAGACCCACGGAACTAAAGAAGAGGATGCCTTGATGGTACACTATGTTGGTGCCCTGGTTGTCCGTTTGGGCAGTTGGGCTCGGAGACATAGTAGGTGAGCTCAGCACGCGACCATGCGAGCCACCGGCTTTGGAAAGGATGTGCGCAAGAAAAGATGACAGCAGGCGCACGAGCGTGAGTTGAGCACGTTGCCCGCGAACGCTTTCTGGGGGACTTGTGGGAACTTGAAATTCCGACTGGGGCTTTTGTGGCGAAGCTTCCTGGATGAGAAGGTATCCAAAAAAGGGCGGTGCATCTCGGAGCGGAGGTCAGGTCCTGGGGCCCTCTTGAGGCAATGGGCGCTGCTAGGGGCTTCCTGGAGGCTTCTGGGGGCTTCCTCGAGGCGTCTTGCGGCCACTATGTTGGTTCCCTGGTTGTCCGTTTGGGCAGTTGGGCTCGGAGACATAGTAGGTGAGCTCAGCACGCGACCGTGCGAGCCACCGGGTTTGGAAAGGATGTGCGCAAGAAAAGATGACAGAAGGCACACGAGCGTGAGTTGAGCACGTTGCCCGTCAACGCTTTCTGGGGGACTTGTGGGAACTTGAAATTTCGACTGGGGCTTTTGTGGCGAAGCTTCCTGGATGAGAAGGTATCCAAAAAAGGGCGGTGCATCTCGGAGCGGAGGTCAGGTCCTGGGGCCCTCTTGAGGCAGTGTCGGGGCCCTCTTGGGCGCTTCTAGGGGCTTCCTGGAGGCTTTTGGGGGCTTCCTGGGGGCGTCTTGCGGCCTCTTGGAGGCTCTTCGGGGCCTCCTGGGGGCCTCTTGGTGTCTCCTGGGGGTCTCTTCGGGAGGGCAGCCCGAAATGTCGGAACTAAAGAAGAGGATGCCTTGATGGTGCACTATGTTGGTTCCCTGGTTGTCCGTTTAGGCAGGTGGGTTCGGAGACATATTTGGTGAGCTCAGCACGCGACCATGCGAGCCACCAGGTTTGGAAAGGATGTGCGCAAGAAAAGATGACAGAAGGCACTTGGAGTCTCTGCGGGGCCTCCTGGGGGCCACTTGGTGACTTCTGGGGGAGCCCGAAATGTCGGAACTAAAGAAGAAGATGCCTTGATGGTGCACTATGTTGGTTCCCTGGTTGTCCGTTTGGGCAGTTGGGCTCGGAGACGTATTAGGTGAGCTCAGCACGCGACCATGCGAGCCACCAGGTTTGGAAAGGATGTGCGCAAGAAAAGATGACATAAGGCACACGAGCGTGAGTTGAGCACGTTGCCCGTCAACGCTTTCCGGGGGACTTGCGGGAACTTGAAATTTCGACTGGGGCTTTTCTGGCCAAGCTTCTTGGATGAAAAGGTATCCAAAAAAGGGCGGTACATCTCGGGGCGGAGGTCAGGTCCTGGGGCCCTCTTGAGGCAGTGTCGGGGCCCTCTTGGGCGCTTCTGGGGGCTTCCTGGAGGCTTCTGGGGGCTTCCTGGAGGCGTCTTGAAGCCTCTTGGAGGCCTCTTCGGGGCCTCCTGGGGGTCTCTTCGGGCGGGGAGCCCGAAATGTCGGTGCCTGCCTCCCCCCTGGGGGATCTCTTGGGGCGTTCCTGGCACCTTCTGAGGCCGTCTTGGAGGCGACTTGGGCCGTCTTGGGGGCTTTTTTGGCCGTCTGGGCGCTCTCTTGGGGGCCGCTTACGCCGTCTTGGAGCGATCTTTGGGGCCTCTTGGGCCGTCTTGGAGTGCGGGAAGCCGAACAGGCGAGAACACGAAAAACGTCGGAAAACTTTTGGAAAAGTAATGAATTTTGACTCTTGGGGCTCTCCTGGGGAGCCTCTTGGAGGCCTCCTGGACCGTTTTGGGGGCTCCTTGGGCGTCTTGGGCCGATCTTTCGGCGACTCGAGGCCCTCTTGGACCGTCTTGTGGATCATCTTGGGGCCGCGCGTGCCTCCCGGAAGCGCGTCTACAAAAATGGTGCAGCATGGTGCCGTGTTCGGCCGTCTTCCGCCGGCGTTCCGCCCGTGGCCGGGGCCCTGTCCGGGGGGGTCCCCCCCCAGACCTCCCCAGGGGGACACACAACGGGAACCCCTCCGCCAGGTCGGGGAAAAAGAAAGACCCCGACAGAGTGCTCATGAGCCCACGGAAACTAAAGGGGACAATATTCGGATTCGGGTACGTTATGCGCCGCAGCAGCGGCGCGGCTTGCCATTATGAATCTGGCAGACGTATATGTAAGAAGATTCATTTCTGCTCGCAGTGGCCGTGTCCCAGCGACCATCGTCTGGCGGACGGTTCTGTGGACTACAATAAGTGGTCAGACTTGCAAGCGCCCTGGCATTTAGTGCATTGCGCGGACGGGTGGCCCGCAGGAGCTGGAGCCCCCGCAGCAGCGGAGGCGCCGGCCGAGGCGTGCGAGGTCCCTGCTGAAGCGGCAGCGGAGCCGTGGGCGGGCCCTGCTGAAGGCCCCGCAGCAGCGGGGCCGTCAGCGGAGGCGTGCGTGGCCCCTGCTGAAGTGGCAGCGGAGCCGCACGTGGGCTCTTCTGACGGCCCCGCAGCAGCGGGTGCGTCAGCGGAAGCGTGCGTGGCCCCTCCTGAAGTGGCGGCGGCACCGTGCGTGTGCCCTTCTGAAGGCCCCGCAACAGCGGAGGCGTGCGTAGGTCCTGCTGGCGCGCATGGCGCCGACGCTATCGCCGAGGCCGCTTCCGCAGTGGAGGCTGCCCTGAAGGACTCCGCGGCAACAGCAGCTCTCTCAGCAAAGGGGGTTGCCCCTGTCGCTTTCCCCCAACCCGCCCCGCTTGCTGTTCGCGACATAGCGGAACCCGTGCTTCCAGGGGCGGAGATTGCTGCAGTGACCGCCTCTGAAAAGACAGCCGCGAACGCAGGCGCCGTGGTTGCCCCGCCCGCGCCTGCAGGGGCACTTTCAGAACAAGGCCAGAGGTGCTTCGAGAAATTGATGAAGTTGTCGCGCAGCATTCGCGGAAGGCCGGGGGGGGGCCGAGAGTGGATAGGGTATTCTGCTTTCGAAATCTTTGCACTTCTGCGGAAGGTGCGCGTGTACGTGTGGGAAGGACGGAACAGAGTCGACCTTTGCAAAGCTGTCTTGCCGCCGTGGAAACTGGAGGAGTTAACCCGCGAGCCTGCGGCGGACGCGATCGCGCGTTGCGCCGTCCCCCGAGAATCGGGGCCACCGGACTGGGCCCCCGTGTCGGAGGAGTATCCTTTGATTCTATGCAATCATTTTATCGCAGGCGTCTCCACCGACTTTGTGGACATCACGGGAGATGCTTCGACGGTGGGCGGTTTCTATTCGGCTCTCGGTGTGTTCGTCGTGTCCACAGTCGCAGACGGGGACTGCGGTTTGGATTGCATGTTGCGGATGACCCAGGAGGTTTCCACGCGAGAGTCTCGCAGGGAGCTCCGCCAGGACAGTTGCTCTCTCCGACCACCCTGATCCTTCGCTTCCATCTCTGCTGCCCCCACATGCTCTCCCCCTCCTTCTCTCCCCATTGTGCCTTCATGCCTCTCCAATCGCGCCCCCCTCTCCCCTCGCGCCCTCCCCGCCGAGTCTCCTTGCCCCTCCTCCATGCCCGCCTGCCAGGACATCGCGGACTACATTGTGCAAAGGGTGCGTCTGGCGTGGTTCCTCGACGTGATGGTCCTGGCACAAGAAGTCACGCAGGATGACGTCCAGGAGCTTCGTCGCCTGCAGAGCGCCTTAGACGACGAAGAACTTGTCCCGCAGCCTGGCCACGCCGCCCCCCCGAGAGCACAGGGCGTTGCCGCCGCAGCAGCGGCGGCGCCACCTGAGGACTTGGCAGTGGTGGAAGTCGACGCCGAGGCAGTCTGTCAGGAGCTCGTGCAAGCCATCCAATGGTGGACAGGACTGAAAGACGCTGCGTGCGCCCTGGACGTAGCTCGGGAGTTGATGCCCGCAGAGCGGGAGGAGCAGCTCTTGAGGTACAGGAACCGCGGCTGCGAGCGCAAAGCCCCCGCCCAGAACAAGAAGCGCGTGGTGGTCCCGTCGCTCCTGTGCTCGAGGATGGAGATAGCGGGTGCTTTCGACGAGCACATGCGCTCTTTAGGCTGGACGCCTGGAGACCGCTTTCCGTATGGAGGGGCGCGTTCATTCATGGATGCGTGGGACTGGGGTTCCATGTCCCGTCTCTCTCTCTCTCTCTCTCTCTCTCTCTCTCTCTCTCTCTCTCTCTCTCTCTCTCTCTCTCAGGAAGCGCACGCACGTTGTGCGGCGCTGGCACAAGGCTTTTCTGTCGTCGAATTACGCCTCCGCAGTAGCGGAGGCTGTTCGGCATCCGCGGGGACACGAGGCGCAGCACGGGCAGGGGCGCCTCCTGAAGTGGAAAGGGCGGAGAAGGATACCACAACAAGGACAGGGGCCAGCTCGAAAATGCCCATGGCTGCGGCAAGCTCTGTTTGAACGGTGGAGTTCCATTCGGCACAGTGTAGATTGGAAACTTATCAAAAGTGGAATGCGAAGTACCCAAAGAGAGCCAGCGAAGATAGCAAGGTTCACGCAAAGCATGCTCCAGACCAAAGCGTTGGAGCTCATGAGCGAGTACGTCACGCAGCAGCTGCGGATCGGGTAGCGACCCGCCGCCGTGGAGTTGAGGTCGCGCTGGTGGGCCTCCTGGCGCAAGGAATACGGCCCCAGCATGCGGTGCCCGAACAGGAAGTACAAGTGCCCGCTGCCCGTCTTGGAAGAGCGCCTCGAGCGAGGCTGGCTGAACGTGTTTAGGGTACGCGCCGCGTGCGTGCTACTCAACGAGCAGGATCCCGAGATGGAGAACTTCGACCAGTCGCCTTTCCACCACAATGAAACAGGATCAGCTGGCGTGAGGA